CTGCTATCATTGTTTTTCTCTTTCAGTTTGAGTATAGGACACTTTGGGTTGATGTGTCCTACTTTTCGACATTAAAAGCAGTTGAGGGCAACAAATTTATCTTGCTTTCTAAAAGACCTTTTGTTCCTTGCAGAATCATGGTTAACTTTATTTTTATACTTTAAGAATTTAGAGAACCTTTTTACCACCAGATTTGGAGCTTCACTATCAGAATTTTCTACAGCTTGATCATCTCCAAAATCATCTTTCCTTGGGTTGGATTTTACAGCAGCTCTAGTAGGGATTTCAGGGAAATCGTGTGTCTTTTCTCTCCTTTTTCCTCTTCCTTAAGTCTTTCTAGCTCCAACTTATGTTCCCTCAACTTTCCAAATAAGGTAGCCATATTCATTGTAGTGAGGTCTGTAGATTATGATATGATAGTGATTTAGGCTGCCATGTTCTATTTAAACTCTTCAAGATCTTGATGTTCAATTCCTCTTTGTCAAAGGTTTTTCTAATAGCTAGTAGATTATTAACTATATGAGTGAACCTTTTCTGCACATCATATATGATCTTTCCATTCTTCATCTTGAACATTTCATACTCTTGAATCAAAAGTATTCTTTCTAGATCTTTTAACTTCATTTGTTATTTTATTTTCATTATGTGTCTATTGTGAAAATTCCTTAGGCATAGTTTTTCCATTCTCAATCCTTGTAGATTGAAAAGGTCAATTAACAATAATATCTCATACACCTTTGTCTATTAATTACAAGAAAAGTTTCATTCTAATTTTCCCAAATAGGCATATTTCTTCAACAAACAGAGGTGGTATGTTTATGGAGGTCCCTTCACCAAAAGTTTGAGATATATTGGACATATAGGATCTTTTTAATCGATTAAAACTCGATTAATCAACTCAGGTACCAATTGTTAATTTGAAAGATAATATATCTCAACCTAAGAGGGGATGAATTGGTTTAAAAACATTTTTTAAAGCTCTTAAAAATTTTCATGTGTATAAGGCTATTTTAAAAAGATCTTTACACTTCAAAGATTTAACAATATAATAGGCAAGAATAAAGAAAGAACACAACACAAGATTTATAATGGTTTAACTCTTCAAGAGTCTACATCCAGTCTTCCTCCAACAACCTTAGATGGAAGGAACTTCACTAACAATAAATGTCAAGATTTAAAGAATACAAGATCCACTTAATATACTCTTACTCTCTCAAACACAACAAAACACAAACCTAAAGAAGAGTGATGAAGACGCTCCAAGGAGAAGACCGAACGAGCGCGATTTGAACTCCTCGAACCTTCCTCGACGAGTAAAATGTAGCGAAATGAACAAGAAACTGGAGATCGAGAGCGAGCCTTAGGAGAAATCGTAAGAATCAATTTATTACTCTAAAAGTGGAGAAGATTCATCGCGTACGAACGAATAACCCTAAAACCCTAGGTTTGACTCTATTTGAGGTGGAGAAGGTCTTAGATAACCTAGGAGAACTGATTAATCGATGGAAAAGTGAACATAAACTATAGAAGAGTTGATTAATCAGTGGAAAATGAAGATTGAGCAATGAAATGGGGCTAAAATTAGGTTTAATTGGTAAAAAAGGAAGATAAGGTGAAAAGGTGAAGGAAACCCTAACTTGATGATGTTCGAAATGGTTGTACGAGTAGGTATGATCTATGAAGATACTAATGTGAGGAATGGCGAGATTCTTTGAGAAGAAGCTAGGTTTTAATGTTGAAACTTCTCGAACAGTAGAAAGAATAAAAAATGTGGTTCAATGATGAGGAAAACCTGAGAAGAAGATGAAGCTTGAGATGTGATTTGTGAATGATGAAAAGTGTCGCAGGAAAACATGAATGAGGCTCGAGTATGACAAGGCACGAGAGGCAGTAAGAAATGCAATTGTTGTTGACTGGAGCGTTGATGCATGTACAAAGGTTGAAGTGGCTTGAATGAAATGGCACTTCGTGGAGGAGAGAGAAATTCTGATGTGGAGCACAAGTGAAAAATGGCAAATGAGAGTAAGGAAGTGTGCTTGAATGGTGGCTAGAGAAGGATCCCTAGGATTCTCTAGCCTTGACTTTGAAGGACGAATTGTTTCTGGATTTCAAAAAATCAATTTGTCATTTATCTCAAAAATCCCAAATACAATGGTGGAGTTGGGTTAGTAACCCATGCTCCATGCAAGTTAAAAATGTCATACAATGAACACAAAAAGTTTGTCGGGCAATATTCCATCATTCCTTCCCTCTCAAAAAAAATTTGTCCTCAAATTTGAGAATCACATTTATTATTAAGAAGCTCCTCACAGTCTTGGGAGCAGGCCATCTTGGAATGACCTTATTCCTTTATTTCTTGGGATCCATATAACTTCCTCTTGGATCAAATATTAATCTATAATAAGCATTAAACATATCTCTAATTAGTTTTATTTTTACTAAGAAGAGATAAAAAAAGATTTTTGTTAAAGAAGGCTTTCTAATTTTTGAAATTCTTATTTTTAATAGAATTAAAAAACCTTTCTTAAAAAGAAAATTGTTTTGAGCTAGATGTAACTGTAATGGTAACAATAACTCAAATTGCGAGTTGTCAATTTTTGAAAAGTTTTGCATTGAGAATGAAATGACAATTTTTTCAAAAGAGAAGTTTATATTTAAAGTTCAAGGGTAACCATAGAAAAGTTTAAAGATGAAGAACCTCGTCTTAAATGTCTTGGGTCCATGGTCTTTGGAGGAGTAGAAATTGTTATCAATAGCAATTTCTACTTTTCTCTCTTTTCTTTTTCTTCCCTTTCTATTCTCTCTTGCCCTTCTCTCTTCTTTTCTTCTTCTCTTCTCTTTTCCTCTTCTCTTTTCTTTTCTTATTCTCTTCTCTCTTTTTCTTCTCTCTCACTTTTCTTTTCTTCTCTCTTCCTTTTCTTTTCTCTCTTGCTCTCTTGTCTCTTCCTCTCTTCTTTTATTCTCTCTTTCTCTTTTCCTTTCCATGAGTTCCTTTAGTCTTGCTCTAAATTCAATTTCCCTATGAAGGAAACCATAATCATCTAGACTCTTAATGAATGTTTTCCCTCTTGAATGCTAACTCTCATTAGTTCTAGGTTTCTCTTAATTGAAGGAGGCACAAACTTTCTTCTTATGCAAACTCTTAATTCATACAAATCATGAATGAAGGATTTTCTACCTTTCTTAACACTATATTGTCTTTGATTCCACCACTCATTTGCATGTTCTTCTAATATAGAGAGATATATGCTAAGAACATAGGATTCACTCTCTCTAGCAAATAAAGGATGTATCTTATCAATTTTCTTTTCCCAAGCTAGGTATGTTAATGCATCAATGTCTTTACCAAAGCTAGGTATGTTAATGCATCAATATCACTCTCTCCTAATGACTTATAACATGACATCTTGTGTTCTTAAAAGTTTCCTTAATCTAAAGGGTTTAAGCTTTACACTTAGACAAATCCCAGGTAAGAGAGGTAAGCCAAAAAGGCTGCATAAGTACCAAGTCTTTTCTTGCTAGAAATGTCTTAGACTACTGACTAATTACCATTTAAACTAAAATTATCTTTAGAAACAAAGTTTATGACTCTAACACAGATAAACAATTAAAGAGAAAATGAATGACTAGACTCCTAACTTCGGGCGTCTAATGTGACAAGGCTTAGAGTTTAATCTCTTGTAGCCTAAATCACTCCTAAAGACGTGAAATGAAAAAACTCAATCAATATTAAATGTTAATCCTATGGCGAGGCTTGTAGCTTTGCTAACAAGACACACTCACCATTTAAGCTATATGAATTGAAGAACCTGAAAAAAACTAGAGGAGGGGGGGGGGGGTTGAATAGTATTAATGGAAAACATTTTCACAACCTTTTTGATATACCACGCTATCGAGCTCTTGAAATATTCTTTTGAAAGGTTAGACGCTCGACTTGAGATATATGTATAAACGATGATTCGTAGAGGGTTCCACTACAATCTTCACACGATTACAAATTAGTATTAGCACTACTCCTGGTACTCATCTACCTCACCAAGATTTCCTCTAAGTATTAGCACCACTCCTGGTACTCAACACCCTTGCCGAGATTTCCTTTTATTATTCGCACCACTCATGGTACTCAACAACCTTAGCCGAGATTTCCTTTGAGTATTCGAACCACTCCTGGTCCTAGACTACCGTGCCTAGATTCGTCAAATCAAACAGAGTTCAGTTGTGAGTGTTTTAATTCTCTTCAGAAATGCAATCAATGATTGCTTACAAGTACTTCAGACTAAATCTCTCATAGAGAGGATTTGATTACAATATAATGCAGTCTAAACACTCGTATGTGTTTCTCTCTTCTCTCTTACAATGGTAAGATATGTGACGCTTAAGCTCGAGAGTGAGTCTTTTTCTTTTTCTCTTCTCTTCTCTTTTCTTCAGCTTAGATGTATTCTTTTTCTTTGAGCTCTTTCTCTTTTTATCTTCAGGATGAATATATCGTTGTAAGCTTTACTTGAGCTCTTGAGCTATCCTTTTGATTTTCTTCTTGAAAGATCTTCTATTTATAGACTTCATAAACATATGTTTGTTACACTGGATTTGTAATTAGTAGTCTCGATACTTGTAATTTCTCTTTCTTCTTTTCACAGCAATCGTTGTGTAAGTCAACTTTTGATAAAGTAGGCATGCTTTTTCAGTCCTTTGCTTGAAGTAGGTTGTACGGTCTTTTTAGACTTTGCTTCAAGTGAGGAACATTATGTGAATATCTCCTTTGTCTCTAACATTCACTCTTTGATATTTGATCTGTAGCACTATGAATGCGTGTAATATAGGTTATATGGAAAATTAGAGTAAATTTTGCATGCGGCATATATGTCTTTTCTTATCTCTTTTGTTGTTTTTGAACGTTGAGCATTTAAGAAATATTTAATGGAAGCAAAACATTAGGTATCAGTTAGCATGACTTATTTATAGAGTGGAATGTATTGTTGCATAATTACTTTCCATTACTGCATGACTATATCATGCATGTCTTTGCTATGCCATATGAAATATATAATTACAATTTACAAACAATACACACACACCACTTTCAGATTTAGAAAGAAAAAACAAATTACATAACTTACACTGCACAATATGTTGACAAAAAACTTAAAGACTTCATACATAGAGATTTTGAAGATCATCTTTGAATTTGGCTTTCAGCTGTTCTCTCTTTATCTTGAGAGCATTAGTGACTAATCCAGATTCAGGTGTCCATGGATCCGGAAGCAACTTGATCTTTGCAGGAATTTCAGATTTCACCAGCTTTGTAGCTTTTGCAACCTGACATGAATAAAGGTGTAGCCATTAATGATCAATACACAATGCTTATTAACTTATAATTTCCTTGTTATTGTTACATCATAAATAAAACTATATTGTTTGGAAAATCGAAATATAATTTCTCCAGAGTTTATCCGTCAAGCTTCAGTTCAATTAAATAATGTCCAGTGAAAACAATGATAGGTGTTAAAGCGTTAGCAATGTAGGAGACTAAATCAAAGTAAACGTAGAAATATTTGTAATGGAACAGAGAAAATGAAGACAAGTTTTTCATATGACCATAAGAGAATCGCAAAAAGTGCTTACATAGACATAAGATCGTATTCCTCAGTGGATAGAAAGTAATCATACTTTTCTATAAAAAGAATATCATTACTGAATATGGCGCATCGGTGAAAGAAAAATTAAAAACAAAAGAGTAGGCTATGAGCCTTCTCAAACATTATCGGACGCAACCTATTTTCATTAAATGAGCAGCAGATGATGAAGAACTTGATGCATCGTCTTAATGAGGAAAAACTCATCAGGCGGAAAGTGTGATAAAATGGAAGCTTCATCATACTTCTCAAGTTAGAAGAAAATGATTTCTTTTTTTTCTTATTATATCTCATTGCATACATTATATATATATATATATATATATATATATACACACACACACGTGTGTGTGTGTTTTTTTTTTGTTGCATAACTTTGGAAATAGGAATAGGCTCTTATGGGGGGACAAATCGCCGGGATTGTAATGCCATTAATAAAAACCAGACACAACAAATATACATAATTAAAAATAATAGGAATAATATCTAAAACTTCCCAAAATATATTTTGACAAGTGAACAAGTGTTCTCTTAGTTTGGATATCATTGTCCCAATGTTATTTTTGTTCAATCCCTTAGTGAGTAGGTATGCAAGTTTTCCTTGAGTAAACACATATGAAGTGCAAATTATGCCATTGTTAAGTTTTTCTTTGATAAAATGCCTATTATTTTCAATATGTTTAGTTCTATCATGTGTTAGGTTGTGAGTTATGTTGATTGCAGATTTATTTTTATAATATAACCTCATAGGATTATGAGCCCCTAATCCTACCAAAGATGGAGGAGTCCAAGGAAAATAAACATGTTTAAGGATAGTTTCTTTACCTTTTTTTTTTTACTTGGTTTAGTTTTGCTTTAAATAAAGTGTAGGACTCTTTGAGTTTTGTGTTTTGTAGGTTTGTTAGTGACACCCTAAACCCTAAACCACACCCTTACTTTTGCTAAAAGGACATCCATGGAGTGGAAAAGAGAGCATGTTGAAAAGAAAGAGCACATAATAGGCTACACTTGAATGAAAAGAAAGAAAATCACCTTTTTGAAGATTTGTTGAGGCCCATAATAGATTTGGGGCTGCACATGCATGGGGAGAGATAAAATCACTTTCTAAAAAGCACCTTTTGAAGATTAGATGCACCCAGAGATTTGGAGAGTGTCTCATCTTTTAGTTACCCTAGTTTATGGAATGTTGCTTTTCTTTGTAATTACCACAATACCCCTCTCTTTGCCTACTTAAGAGAGTCTTTACATCACTTGTAAGAGGTTGAATATTTTTTTAGAGTAAGGTTATTATGTTCAACCCTTTCTAGAGGGAGTTGAGAGAGTCTCTTCTTGAGTGTTCTAAAACTCCCAAGTATTATCTTGAACCCAGGTTCAAGTGACAGCACCATTATCTTAGGTAGCTTAGAACCCCCAAGTGACGTGACCACCTTTTTTCCCCCTTACCCTTTTCTTCTTTTCATCTTTTATTCAATTTACCTTTTGTTAAGAAAAAATCGTCTATAAGACTAAAATGCTAAACGCTCTCACATGTTTTGAAGTTTAACCTAAACACTAAACTAAACGATTCCCAAAAACATTAAGCGTCAATGAGAGAGTTGTGTTAAACGCATAAGCTATAATGTACGAAATTGTGATAAGTCAAACTCTCAAAAGATAAGAATGTGAAAGTGTCGATATAATGTTTTTGGTAAGTCCTATAAAAGTCTCAATTAATATTCCAAAAACACATGAAAAATAACTCGCTAAACACTCAAGCTAAAGAAAGCAGAATAATAAAGCGTTTACAAAAAACAAGACGATAGCATGAGTTAAACCATTCACTTCGTCCAACGATGAAGCTTCAATTAATGCTTGGTATCTTAGCAAAATTGCTTAAATGATAAAATTTTACCCGAACGGTAGAAAATATAAAAAGCACTTTGTTGTTTTGAATTAAATGTCATTAAATGTTCAACTTTCAAAAACAACAAAAGTGATAAGAGAAAAGAAATATCTATTGCATGCATATCTACTCTACTTTGTTCTGATAGCCTACTACATGCATCCACCTACGTTAGAGACAAAGAAGACATTCACAGAATGTTCTCTCCATTAAAAGTTGTGCCTAGTACATGCATTACTTACCGCTCGGTTACATTACTAACTTGAGCGTCGGAGTGCCTTTGACAGGTATCCGCCCGCCCGGCTCGGAAGAGGAGGGAGAACGAACAACTTGGAACATGGGAAGATCAAGGTGGTCGTCCGGCCTGCAATGAGTCTGTCCACCCCTCAACGTGTCCGTCCATCTCCCAATGGTAGCCCGCTTGGAACAAAGCCCGCCCGGTCTTCATCCTGCAACGCGTTGAATAGTGTTCGTCCGTCCGGTCTCTAGCATACACCTAGTCTTCAATACAATTAGGAGTGTTTTAGTAGGGTCACACCAAACCCGGCCGAAACATTTTGGCGCCCACCGTGGGGCCGAGCTGGTATTCCTCATCATAGCCGCAAGGGACCAGTGAGTGGTGCATCAAAAGAACGTCAACCAAACCGTTCAGTCTCTTACGCTCGGCCTCGACTACTCGACAACTCGGCCTTGTCTACTCGACCACTTGGCCTCGTTCGCACGGCCATTCGGTGTCCGCTATTTGGCCTCTCGGCCTCCATTGCTCAGCCATCCGGCTTTTCGACCTCAGCCAAATTTGGCCTCCAACACTCAAACCTTGTGATCGACCATTCGGATTCACCCGTTAGACCATTCCTTGGTTAGGTAATTCCTCGAACCTAGCCTCGCAGGTATTTAGCCAAATTTGGCATCAACTGTTCGACAATTCATCGACCTCAGCTTCTCGGCCTTCAAAGGCCTCACTCCTTGAGACCATCCCTTGGTCTCGACCGTTCGGCCACTCCCTGGCCTCAGTAACTCGGCCTCCAAAAACTTCAACCGTTCGGCCTTAATGATCAGGTACTTTTTTAAACCAAGCCTCGTAGGTACATAGCCAAAATTGGCATCAACGTCAACACATTCGGTCGTGCGGCCTCAAGGACATCTGCCATCCGGCCTCCCTTATCGAGCCTTGGTTATTCTGCCTCGGCCATCTGGCCTCAACAACTCGGGCGGTGAACGGCGAGTTCCTTATAGAACCACTACCGCCCAATTCCAAGCAAAGCCCAAGTTGATGAACGGGACACCCTGCCGCCTAGATCGTTTCAAAGTCCAAGTTGATGAACGGGACACCCTGTCAACTTGGCCAGGCAGCGAACGGGACACATTGCCGCCTGGATCGTTTCAAAGTCCAAGTTGATGAACGGGACACCCTGTCAACTTGGTCAGGCGTTGAATGGGACACCCTGCCGCCTGGATCGTTTCAAAGTCCAAGTTGATGAACGGGACACCCTGCTGCCTGGGTCGTTTCAAAGTCCAAGTTGATGAACGGGACACCCTGTCAACTTGGCCAAGCGGTGAATGGGACACCCTGTCAACTTGGCCGAGGTGTTCCAAAGGCCTCAGCTTCTCGGCCTTCAAAAGGCCTCAACATCTCGGCCTCCAAAGGCCTCAACGTCTCGACCTCCAAAGGCCTCAACATCTCGGCCTGCAAAGGCCTCCACCGTTCGGCCTTCAAAAGGCCTCAACATCTCGGCCTCCAAAGGCTTCAACCTCTCGGCCTCCCGTGGCCTCAACCGTTCGGTCTTCAAAAGGCCTCAAATCTCGGCATCCAAAGGCCTCAACCTCTCGGCCTCCAAAGGCCTCAACCGTTCGACCTTCAAAAGGCCTCAACCGTTCGACCTTCAAAAGGCCTCAACATCTCGGCATCCGAAGGCCTCAACATCTCGGCCTCCAAAGGCCTCAACCTCTCGGCCTCCCGTGGCCTCAACCGTTCGGCCTTCAAAAGGCGTCAACATCTCGGCATCCAAAGGCCTCAGCTTCTCGGCCTCCAAAGGCCTCAACCTCTCGGCCTCCAAAGGCCTCAACCTTTCGGCCTCCAAAGGCCTCAACCTTTCGGCCTCCAAAGGCCTCAACCTTTCGGCCACTGCTTGGCCTCAACTTGACCTTCGTATGGCCTCACCCGCTCGGCCGTTAAAGGCCTTAACTTGGCCTTCAAAAGGCCTCAACATCTCGGCCTTCAAAGGCCTTAACCGTTCGACCGTTAAAGGCCTTAACTTGGCCCCCAAAAGACCTAAACATCTTGGCCTCCAAAAGGCCTCAACATCTCGGCCTCCAAAGGCCTCAACATCTCAACCGTTCGGCCTTCAAAAGGTCTCAACCTCTCAGCCTCCCGTGGCCTCAACCTCTCGGCCTCCAAAGGCCTCAACCTCTCGGCCTCCCGGGGCCTCAACCTCTCGGCCTCCCAGGGTCTCAATCGTTCGGCCTTCAAAGGCCTCAACTTCTCGGCTTCCAAAGGCCTCAACTCCTCGGCCTCCAAAGGCGCAACTTCTTAGCCTCCAACGGCCTCAAATTCTCGGCCTCCAATGGCCTCAACCGCTTGGCCATCTCGGCCTCCAAAGGCCTCGACAAATCGGCCCTCAAAGGTCTCAACATCTCGGCCGTCCATGACATCACAATTACTTAGCCAAGTTTGGCAATCAACCATTCGGCCCCGTCCATTCGATTACGGCCACCTGCCCTCAGTCATCCGGTCACAACTTGACCTCAACTTTTCAGCCCTAATGGCTTGGCCATCCGTGGCCTCAAGTACTTTGCCAAAGTTGGCATTAAGCATTCTGTCATTTGGCCTCACAATTGTTCTTCTTCAAATGGAATCCCAGCCGAACCCCACCGTCAGTAAGCAACAGCGGATCTCCACGATTTGTTATCCGCTTTTGCCTCCCATCCACTCAAACAAGCAGAAGGGACTCAGAGACGAAAGCAAAGCAGAGAACTCATCCTTTTCAAGAAAGCCATCTACAAAACCCCTTCGCATAATTAACATCATGCTCGGGCTTGGGGGGTTGACGTACCGTACTGTCCCCAGTGTACTGTACAATCTCTCACGCATCCAAAACCGAACGGCTCCCCGAGTCCAACTCTCCCTAAGGTTGGTATACCATATGGTCCCCCGACCCCGCGTACCGAACGGTTCTATCCAGGATGACCGCCCATACCGGCCGACCGGCCATATGGTCAGATTACACACGATAATAGTTCATTAAAGCCCCTAATGGAGATTAAGGCGTGATTGGGCCGCCATTAGGCCGGCAAAAGGTAAAAGCCCATTACAACCAGTATAAATAAGAGTCTCAGGTTTGATTTCTGGACAGGTTGCATAGGATGCACTATATACATGCATTACTTACCGCTCGGTTACATTACTAACTTGAGCGTCGGAGTGCCTTTGACAGGTACCCGCCCGGCTCGGAGGAGGAGGGAGAACGAACAACTTGGAACATAGGAAGATCAAGGTGGGCGTCCGGCCTTCAATGAATTCGTCCACCCCTCAACGTGTCCGTCCATCTCCCAATGGTAGCCCGCTTGGAACAAAGCGGGCCCGGTGTTCATCCTGCAGCGCATTGAACAGTGTTCGTCCGTCCGTTCTCTAGCATACACCCAGTCTTCAATTAGGAGTGTTTTAGTAGGGTCGCACCAAACCCAGCCGAAACACTAACTATTTGTCTTCTCTCAACTCTTATTTTTCTCTCACATACAGGTTTCATGTATTATTATAAGATAAAACTCCACAATCACAAAAATGAACTCAAACAGAAAAATGAACCCCAAGAGTTGTTTATAAAGGCACATAAGGCCACACTCCATATGACACTTTTCAGAAAAAGATAATCATTACAAAAATTTACTTTCTCTCAACAGGTAGTGTTTTGGTGAAAGAAAAACAGAGAACAAAGCGTAAACTTTGTCTTTTCAGACGTTATCAGAGGCAACCTATGTTAATTAAATGACCAACAGATGACGAAGAAGTAGATGAAGTGCCTGATGATGAAATATCCTTCAGACAAAAAGGTCGACATAGAAAGCTTCATCCGACTAAAGAAATATTATCAAATTTTAACAATAGGTAAAAGGAAAGAACAGAAACCCGAAGGGGAATTTCCTAACATAAATGTAAAGCAATATAGATACTACAGGAAACAAGGATCAACCTTCAGACCAATTAATTGAGGCTTTCATACCATGTCAAACACCAACTTTATGAATATTTTTGTTTTTAGGTGGAGACCGATGAATGATTTGCTATCTTAACACTGCAACCCATGGAAATGTATACTATGATAAAATCTCCATTTTTGATTCTGGTATTTGACAATCTATCAGTTATATCTTGGTTATGTGCTAGCAAGCAAGGAAGCATGTACAAGTTGGCTAACCTTAGAAATAGATCGTAGGACCTCGGTGACAGTTTCCTGTTTGTTACACATATCAGAAAAATCTTTGTACTCAATACCAGCTTGTTGGGCCCACTTCTCCAGGGAATGATTACAAGCAACGACTAGAGCCACACAGTAATTGTAAAAGGGGTCTGCATAAACCATTATATTATCCACATAATCACATGATGATAATGCTGCCTCAACCTGCAATTAAGAAAAAAAATGAAAGAGTAATAATTAATATACAAGTTGAAAATTTTAGTAAGAATTTTGTGAACGGCGTGGAATAATTTGAGTAACCTTTCCAAGAGAGACATATTCTCCATGCTGAAGTTTGACAATGTCCTTCTTCCTATCTATGATCTCAAGACACCCATCAGGATGGCATTGTCCAATATCACCAGTATAAAACCAACGCATACCATGCTCATCAACCTGTGCTAAGTTAAAAAAATTATCCGTGTGGCATACATCAGCAAAGGTAGATATTGGAGCATTTGAATGAAAATTAAAAAAGGAAATAATTATAGGCGTGTAGCTGAATGTTTGAAAATTACCTTGAACACTTCATCAGTTTTTTCTTGATTCTTAAAATAACCAGCGGTTACACTGAATCCCCCAACTACAATCTCTCCACGCGGCATTGGTTTGTCTGATGTCAAATACCCTCCCTCTTCCCAAGAAACAAGCTATACAACACACATTAAAGAAGTCAAGTTTCTCCCGTTTGTGGCTCATAAGTGGTACTTACTGCAACTTAATTGTTCGCAAAGTTTAATTATGCACAATTATGAGATTGTAATAATTAAAGACTGTTACATAAATCAATGCAATTTCTGTGATTATGCAGGGTTTAGAAAAAACACCACGCTGATTCTTCGTTGATGGAATATCTGACATACCTTAATGTAGGAACAAGGAAGAGGTGGACCAACACGCCCCACCTTGTGGTCGTACCACTCTGAGAACGTAGCCCCTGCAAATGTTTCAGTCAGGCCATATGCTTGCCCAATAGTAACCCTGCTGACAAGAAAATATGAAAGGACAGAATGTCGTTAGAATTCAATAGAGAAAAGGAGAACAGAATTTCTGAGAAAAGTATGATTTTATTTATTGTTTTTTTAGTCTGTTACATTACACCGGAGAACTTATATCTATTATTAGATAAAAAATATTTTTTACGTGTTGAGTCTTGAACCAAGCTCAATAATGCTCCCCATTCTATATAGCCTATCTTATTAGTTAGATAGGGCTTTCGCTATTGTTGTATCTTTCACTTACTATCAGAAAGAAAATCAGATTAAAAGTTAGTTCTAATAATATGCAGTATAAAAATTACCCCATGCAGATATTGATAAAGTTTTGTGAATCTTTAGATAAAGGGGCTCCCCCACAAAGCATGTAACGGAGTTTTCCTCCAAGTGCAGCACGGATTTTCTTAAAGACAATGGTTTCCCACACCAACTTCTCCAATCCCCATGCTCCAAGCCAGCTTCCTTTTACAGCTGTCAGTCTGCGCTGATATGCAAAATGAAAAAGATTCTTCACAAGCCCCCCTCTATCCTCAACCTAAGTACATTATAGGAAAGAGCACGGAAGAGAATAACTATTTAGTTGCCAGTATAAAACATTCAATAGAAAGGGAAAGTGATAGAAAAACAGCTAGATTTTACAATATGTAAAGAAAAAACTATTCATCCAACTAATCCCCCTCTAACTAAATTGTCTCCCTTTAATTCTTTCAAGGAATAACCCTTTTATCCTATAACATTATTGAACTAAAAGACTCAATGTTTAGGAGAAACCATTGTAAAATAGTTCACTATAAATTAATGTATTGAGAACTTTGTTCTATAGAATCAATAGCATTATATGATCCATGAAGCAGGGCTTATCAAGTGGGATAAAGCTGCATGTTATTCCCTCTACCTTGTTCAGATTTCTTACACAAACAACCAAAATTGTCCTAAAGTCATATCAAAACTGCAATGAAATCCAAGATATTGTCAAACCTAATAGATCCGTTAATTTAGCCTCTAGTTCTCATGTGTTTGTTGTCAAATTTCATTTGGAGTTGTTAAATTATCTATTCAAATGGTTGGATACCAAAATCAATACGCAGCCTACAATAAATGTCTGTGCTCTTCCTCTTTGCTGATGTAAAAGGCTAAACAAGAGTAGCTAAGGCATCTGACCATAAACCATCCATGAGCTAAGGTTGAGTTTAGTAGTTAACGAATTGGTGAAGTACTATATTACTTTTAGAGTTGGCTAGCAAGCGTACCATTTTCTTTCCAATTTACTATATATATATAAAAAGTTAGTTTGGTAGTTTGATTCACACCTTCTTTACAACTCCATCCCGAATACGATCAATAATAGCAGGTACAGCTGCCAAAAGGGTGGGCTTTAAAACATTGGCATCTCCCCTGGTTCCTTTCTTGATTTTACTGGATGAGTCAGTCAAAGTCAGAATAGAGCTGTAACCGATGGCACAACCTGCAGTTAGCATAACAGACTGGACAGCCACAGTAAGTTAGATTCTTAAGAGATAATATCATCAGCTACTTTTACAGTTGGAACAAGACTAAGGAAATTACCTCTGCTGCCATCTCAAAAACATGAGCAAGGGGCAAGTATGCCATGTACACATCCTTGCTACCTAAATTTGGAATCACTGTCATAACAGCTGCTGTTGTGGCTACCATATTCCCATGAGTAATCATAACACCCTGTCAAATCAGAGGAAACCAAGGAACTGAGGACTATTCCAGACAGGAAAATTTTCATTATATTTATTCACTGCCTTAATATGGTTCCTGTGGATATTTTATCACTCATAGTCATTGATGACAATAAAGTCATACCAATAACAAAGTGTACTCATGTTTCTGAACTACAATTGTTGGGACTGTTAAGAATATGAATCTGAACAAAGCACTTTGAAAACAAGCATGATTAAGAACATGAATAAGAGTCTGTAAACACAGAAAGGAACGCCTGTTACAAAACGTGAATAAGAAACAAACCTTTGGCAGACCTGTACTACCACTTGTGTACATGATAACCGCAATGGCATTCTTGGAAGGCAAGTTTGGTTCAACAGGATTTTCTTTACCAAGTTTCTCAACTTCACTAAAAGAGGCAATTGTCCAGTTGCTCAAACTTCCTGAGAAAGCATCTTCATCACTGTTATCATCTTCCAAGTAAATGACATTTTGGATAGAGACTAGTTTTGATCTGATTGCATTCAACTTCTTCAACAATTTGGACTCGCATATCAGAGTAGACACTTCAGTCTGTTCACATCCCAAAGCAAAAAGTGAGAAAATGTCTACCACTTTCAGTATCTATAATCATTCACCATTTTGGATTTGTCTCCTCATCAAATCCAACTATTTTCATCTCATTATACAGTCTCTAAGATGCTCCTTTACCAGCTACAGTAATGACTTAATAGTAAGTGTGGTCCTTCTTTAATCTCCCGCCAATGATGTATTAATCCCTCTGTATTTTTTTTCGTGATTTTAGTCTCCATATTTTGGTCAAATCCTCAATTTTGTTTTTTTACATTTCAATTATTTTTAATAATACTTGTTATGAATATGTTAGATCTAGAGTTCAATTAGGCCATAATAAAAGAAATAAAATATATGCAAAATTAAAGATTATATCAAAATCGCATGTTTTCTAAAAGAAGGAAATTAAAACCATAGAAAATCAAATCGCGAATTAGAAATCGAAACTGTATTACTTTCAAGTGGTTGCATTCCTTACCTATTGCAATAAGTTTAGCCTCTTCAGAAATAGGATTGGTTAGCCTGAATTTAGGTCTATTTGACTTTTCTCATGAGTTTTGGTTTGGTCCCTTTGATTGACGTTTTTTTTTCTTTCTTTTAATTTTTCTTTTTGGCACAAGATATATAATTGACGAACTATAAGATGTCAACTTTGTTGGAAAGTGATACCTTTGATACTAATCTTTGCTTAAAAAAGTTTGAAATTTTTATACTATAATAACTTCTTACCTCGTTTAGCGAATGGACCAAGGCATCTTCACCAAGTGTAGCATAAATAGTAACAACTGTTACATTCTGCCTGAAGCAACCCTGAAGTTTAGCAAGATTTTCATTACAATGTGTGAATGCAGAACAGTTAAACCCAAAGAAAATGGAATGATCGAATGAAATGAAGGAAATTTACCTGAAGGGCAATGAGCCACTCAGCCCTTGTATCAGAGAAAATGGCAACACGGCTATCTACACTGTGCCCTAACTTGATAATTCCAGAACCAAAATTGCACACACAAGCAAACACCTCTCCATAGGTTTTCCATTCATAGTCTCCCAAGTGAACCTTCTCAAACCTTCTGCCATCACTAGATTGAACAAACTCCTTCTGCAGTAATTTTCTTGTTCCAAGAAATGGATTGTGGTTGAATTTTTCACAGGATTGCTCAAAGAGATGAGCCATGGTTGGTGCCCCTTTCCAAGGAACTTCAACCAACTCCTTTTTTCGAGCATTGCGCACTGCATAACCTTCCTCACCACCGACTTCCACAGTCACACCTCCATGGTCGTTCCTCATAACCATGCTACTCATATTGTTCAGGCATTTTAACCATGAGGAACTACTATTTTGATCCACCATTTTCCCGTGTTTGGTAAGATATTCCTGAAAGTTTGTTCAAATGGAGAAATGGAGCACAGCACAATCTTGGTTTCGTGATTCAAATGGTGAAAGAAAGCATGGAACACAACTTTTGTTCAATGATATCACAATCAAACAACACAATACACGATCAGTCGGATAAAGTAATCAAGATAAAATACAAGAATCTCAATAGACCAAGCAATTGAATGTGATTATGCAATGTATTTCAACTATAAACAAAAGGGGTTGATTTCAATTGGGAATGGGAAAGTATTCCCTTTCAAAAGTTGATAATACCAACCGTCACGATCAATACATTTATGAATGTTATTGAGACCGAGTAAACCCTTTGACCTGGACATTCAAATCATGAACTTCAGGTGGGAAACAAAAAACATTCATCAAAACCTGCATGCAAGAAAAGAAAAACTCAAGAAAATAAACTAGTCAAATCAACTATTCAACCATTCGATATTCCAGAAAGTCAACTTTTCAATCATACAAAACTTCAGAGAAATTAACTATTCAACCATTCAACATTCCAGAAAATAAACTATTCAATCACACAAAATTCAGAAAAATGAACTACCCCACCGTACAAAACAAATAAAGTATCCCGTATTAGTCAAATTTGGCATCAAAATTCATGATTTTGGAAGAATTGGTTAGTTGCGTCCCGAAAAACTCAAGGTGTCTTTTAATTCTACTTGTAGCATTGAAACCAACTTTTAGTTTTAATTCAACACGTACTAAGAACTAAACTTAAAAATTAAGTTACAATATTTTTTTTAACTTGAGTTCAACTCAAAGTAAATTCCTACGAAGAATTTAAACACACATGTATATGTTTTTTACCAAACTAGGCACATTTGGTGCCAAAATGACAGGAATAGGTAAATTTTAAAAGATTTACTAGAATACACAAGTAGTGTGCAGGTCGAACGAATTTAAAAGAAGAAATCGTACATCTCTACACGACTTTCCTAGTCAATTTGTTAGAATCAAAAGTTGCGAGAGGTTCATGACTTCAACTTGAAAGTTGTCAAGGTTCAACTTCGAAGTTGTCAAGGGATGCACGACTTCTATTTGGAAGTCGCCAGTGGCTGCATGACTTTCAATTGGGTTTATCTGTATCCAGAATGTGATTTGTTAATAGATTACATAATACTGTTATCCACGTTAGTGTTAAGAAAATCTCACCATACACACTGTATAATTGAGTATGTTATTCATTAATAATTGAAAAATTTTAAATAGCCGTGATACTTATTATCGAAATAAAAATAAAATATCAATTATCTTAAAATTAAAATCGGTTTAATCTATCATAAAATAATATTGTATGTAGATAAACAGAAAATCATAACTACCTATTCCTATTTTATTTCTATCAAATCAAACTAAATATTACTAGACCCAAAACTAATAAAATAAAATTTAAACAAAATTATTAATAAAACCCTAAAATTTAAGTTTATCCGAACAATTTAAACGCTCCATAAGTTATCTAAGTTGTTCACTTTCTCCACTGAGTTACTTGGGCTCCACATCAAACTATCAACATACTCTACCAAGTTGTTCAAGAGTGTATATTGGTGGGACTTTGACCTCAAGGAGATCTTCGGTTGGGAGTTGTTCCCCTTATCACCACCAGCGACTTGGTTCTTTCCCTCCTTCTTCTCGCCTCTCGTGCTTGCGGCTTCTTGTTGCTGCTTCTTGTGGTATTCCCGCATGTCCTCCACTCACATAAACTTCGTCACTTGTTCCTGCAACTCCTCCATAGTCTTTGTTGGTTTCATGCAAAGACTATCAGCGAATGATCCAATTCTCAGGGTCATGGAAATGTGATGTAGAGCAAACTCATGGCTAACATCTTTGATCTGTTGTGAGATCTTCTTGTAACGGTCCATCAAAGCTCGTAGCAACTCGTCCTTCTCCTACTTGGTGTTGACCAAGGGTAGGCGAGTCAGGTTCTGGATCCTGCTAGCCGTGTACTGCCAACAAACAAGGTGCAGAAGGTGGAGAAGTTGTCCACAGGGTTGGTTGGTAAGGAGTTGAATCACGCCAACGCCTTCCCCTTCAATGATAAGGAGAAGGCCCTCCACCACACAGGTCGCATGACGTGTAGAAGGGCATCAGATTGACAAACATCATCAAATGCTCGTCTAGGTCGGTTGACTCGTCATACTTCTCAAACGTCGGGGGAATCCACCACTTGGGCAAGGACGTCTCCATGATGGTTGGCGTAAATGGTAGTAGACCGACCATGTGGACCGTCTATACCGAAGGAGCTCCCTTGCGTGCTCATGTGCTTCCTTCTTGGATCGCCTTGGTCGACACCTCAACCTACTTGTTTAGGTTCAACTGGCCAAGAGCGCCCGACATCGAAAGTTGGGTCATCTTCTCCTAGCGTGCGATTGCATTCTCGACCCTTAACGTCGCTAACTCCACTTTGTACCTCATTTTCATTTCTTGCATCTGACGTTGCATTTTCCTTATCAGCTCCATAGAATCTTGTTGTTCACTCGACTCTCCTAATGGTCACCACTGGGTTGTCTTTTGCTTCCTCGAGCCCCTGGTGGGTGTCCAAAATTTTGAGTCATGAGGTCGAGGTTATCTGTTTACTAAAACCTGGATTTCCTGATGCTCGTCTTTATCATCATTTGTCCTTGTTAAATTGGGAGGTTAACTCCAGAAGGTAGTCAAAAGTCAGTAAAGATATGGCGAGTTTAATGCGTAATAAATACAAACACTTCTTTCTTTACCTTAAACTTATATTTATAGATTTTGAAATGTGTTTTGAATTACTGACTACCTAATCGTGACATAATTGATGTTAATCATGTGTTTTATCGGAAGTTAATCTCAATCCAACCTAATCATCATTTAAGGATGACTATTCGGTTGTAGGATATAGTCGCTCGGTCTGTCAAATGGTAATCGTGGCATTTATGACTGTATAAGCAGTCCGGTTCAAGATTAACCTATGGTACAAAACAGATCCAAAATTTAATAGAAAGATGCCTACATTTATATATGAATAAAGATGAAGTATTGACTCAGAGAAAGCTAGATCCTGGATTTAATACCCTTGGTAGGCATCTTAAGGTCTCTGTCATGCCATCAATGTACTGTAAATTGTAGTTAATTATCTAGCAGTATGCATCAAAACAGGCGATGCATATGCCATGCCGCTAAAAGTGATGTCAGGAACCAATTTTAAAAATTATTAAGCTTATGAAGACCAAAACCGACAATTTCTTGTTGAAGAATTAAAACCAATTTAGTCATATATTTAGAATCTATAATATATTTTATCCAAGAATAAGAAAACACGCGAGAAAATAATTGTCGTTTGTTGTATTTGAGTGTGCATAGGTATGATATTGCTTTTGGGTTATATAGTTTAGGATTCATTAAGTACCTCATTCCCCATTATCTCTAATTTGTTGTGTTTTTCGCTAGCCTATCACGAGGTTGGTCTTTGCTAGAAGGCTCAGATTATCTTCTTTTGTCCGTATCACATGGTTCAAAACCGCAGCTATCTGTTTGGAGTATGTCAAAGTTAGCTGCATCTTGGTCATACAGACTCCAAATAGAAGGTTTGACGATTTATTTCTTTTCCTTATGATACACAGACTATATGTCTCTTGTATTCAATTTAAGAAATCATGTACCATTTGAATGGTTGTCTGTCTTGCAACCAGCAGAACTATCTAAATTATTGGTTTATATTTTTCATGCATGCTCTTCCATTTAGTGGATTTTGTTTTATCTTTATAAATTTGCGACTACATGATGAGAGTTGTGTTGATCTGCAGAATTATAATGCATATGTTTGCAGTTGTCTTCTTTGCAATAGATTTGTCATATTTTGGTCTTCTGGATGCTATATGGATTCTCCACCATGACAGATTCAATTGGAATGAAGGTTTGCAAATTAAAGAATGCTCTATATGGATTAAAACAATCCTCAAGAGCATGGTTTGTAAGTTTTACCAAGTCTATGAAGGCTTTTGGCTATAGAGCTATTAACTCTGATCACACCTTATTTTTTAAGAGAGGAAAAAGAAAAATTACAACTTTGATTATATATGTAGATGACATGATTGTTAGAGGAAATGACCAAGATGAGATTTCTAGTTTACCACAATACCTTGCATTTGAATTTAAGATGAAATAACTTGGAAACCTCAAATATATTTTGGGTATTAAAGTAGCTAGATCAAAACATGGTATTTTTCTATGCCAAAGAAAATATACTATTGATTTATTATCGAAAACTAGGTTGTTTGGGAGAAAACCAGTTGATACACCAATTGAACAAATCATAAACTCTTTTAATGTTCAAATTCAAAAGCATAGACAGAGGGAGATATCAAAGGCTGGTAGGAAAATTAATTATTTGTCTCGTATATGTCCAGATATTACCTATGCAGTGAATGTTGTTAGTCAATTTATGCATGACCAACGAAAGCTTCATATGGATGATGTTGAGAGGATTTTGAGATATTTGAAGTCAACTCCTAGAAAATGAATTTTGTTCTCAAATCATGAAAACTTAAATGTAGAAGGGTATACTGATGCAGATTGTGTGAGAGAATCTTGTAACTTGAAGAAGTAAAACTATGATTTTGTACTCTGACAATAAGTGGATGCAATTGTTCATAGTATTGTGCAGCATAACATTTTAAATAAATCTTTTTAAAATATTTAATTATCTCTTATTAATACCTAACAAATCTATTATCTTCTAATAATATCTAATATCTTTTAATTAAATCATTATTACACCCTTTCATCTTATATTTGAAATATTGATTTAACCTCATTTATTTATTTTATCATAATTTTCCAAAGTCTTACCGAGAACATGATTCTTTTAAACTTAAATAACTATTCATAAAAATATACAAATACACAAATTATCTATAAAATAAAATTAAAAAGTTATTTATTCTTATAATACTCATAATAAGAAAAAATAATACAAGTATTTCCACTAGGATAAACAGAATTCTCCTCTCTTATGTTTATAATTTTTTACCATTTCGTCCTACCTATTGAGTAAATTGTTAATATTAAAATAACTATCTTTAAAAAAAACAATACATACAAAAAGTAAAATTACCTACAATAAAATTATAAGTATCATTTATATTTATTTTTCTTATTATTTTTTATGAAACCTTTTATAATTCAAAAATATATTATTATTATTATTATTAAAATGAATTATAAATTAATTATTTATACTCAACTTAT